CGGGGACACTGATACGAGTAGGAAGGGAGGGTGACAGAATAACTGGAACTGCTTCCTTCATGTTTCGAAAATGACTAATTTCCTGTCACGGGTGGGATCTGCTTAGTGGTCGTACATGCTTTACAGGGACTTGAGTGCTTTTCTTAGTTTTAATCTCAGATATTTAGCACATGGCACACCCAAACTAATGACACACACACACGCTGCCTGTATCTCTGGAGGGGCAGATGGCTGACCTTTTGGGTGTCTGTTTCAGACTGTGACCGTTCAGAGGGTGGTCTGTGACTGAAGAGCCACTTGTGGTCACTACATTAGAAGTCATGTTTTGCATGACGAGTTGTGCACAAATGGCATTAAATGACATCCCAGTATAGTAAATTTGATACAGTGACGACGCTATCTGATACTTTTTAATATCAGGAACTGTGCCAGGGGCTCTGTTCAGCTGCACTGTGAAATTTTGCACCACTTCTCATAAGTTTTAATTTCTATGCTAGGGCAGGGCAGGCATCACGGTGTCTTCACTGTTTGTGGACTCGCAGTTCTCCACGCCTCTCTCACTCTGCCTCATATTAGGCAGATCGGAGGAAGCATATCGCAACCTCTAGGGATCTAAAAGGGCCGTGACTGTTTATTAATTGATTTATTTATTTATCTCCTGTGCCTGCTTGGTTATTAGGTTGCCATGGGAAACAAGCTAGGCCAGATCCCCTCTATTATTAAAGACACAGTTTCTTGAACTGGAGACCCAGCTGTCTGAATAATTAATTTAGCGATGAATTATCTTGCAAATGGTAACTCTTCCCCTCCCTCTGAAATGAGCCTTTCTTTTATTGTTTAATGGACAGTGGGATTCCCACCAGCCTGTTTTCTCTGCACTGCCTGTTTCATCAAACCCGCCTCTTCTTAGCAGGAGCACAGGGTCTCACTGAGCATGCCCAAAGCACTTTGTCTCTCTCCTGCCATCTCTCTCACTTACGCCTTACATGCCACCTCTCACCCCATCTGTCTCCAATTGCACAACTTACTTCCTCCTGCTCGCCTACCTCCTATCCTGCCGTCCAAACCAGGAATCTGCCCCGACTGTCAGTTCTCCAAATTATCTCTTGGTCATCTGCTCTGATGCATTATTATATGACAAATCTTTTTTGCTGTGGAGGAGGTGTTAGCCAGTTTGCTAGTTAACTGAACTTGCACTTCTCTAATAGGTTCCTAGTCCTCTCAGTGAATCAGTCTCCTAACCAGTGTGTATCCTACCAGCTGTGCGCCTAACCCTACTAGTCCTTACATTTTGCTGGCATATTAGAAAATGCTGCCCTAGTCCGAGTGACAGGCACAGTATTTTGCTAGCTCTTTCTTTCCTACATACAGTATGTTAGCTAGCTAACCCTCTCCCACTGTCTCCACTTCTCCTGACAGACCACACAGGACTTGTTCTGAGGCCCATTCTCGCTAATCTGATCAGGCAGGCAAATACGCCGGGAAAAGCGCTTTAATGATCCCCCTAATTACCTCAAGTCAATACCAACTGTATTATTAGACTCGGGGAAAATATTCCATTAGGGTACCCCCCGTGGGAGTCCCCCCTGTGCGCGCCGATGTCACGCGCTGCGCGCCCCTTACGCTTGTAATTAATTTTATTTACACACGCAGGAAT